GTTCCACCCTGACTTCAGCCCCGCAGAGTTAGATGTGGCTCCGTTCCCATTTCGGGCAGTTTAAGCCCAGTGGGTCTGGATAAAATCCACAGGCCACCTGAACCCCAGAGTCCGTACTCTCCCTTTATACTATACTGTTTCCCCACTACCCGGGGAGCTAGCAGAAGGAAAGATGTGTGAGAGGAAGGGGATGACTTGGGTTTTGAAAATTTGGTAGTCGGAGTCAGATTTGGGGGGAAATTTTTAGTTTTCCAATACAGAAGAGAGGGATTCTCCTGCGTCAAGAATGTATGTGGAAGGGAATAACAGAAATGGGACTGAGACCACTTGGAGTCGTCACCCAGTGGTTCCTTCTAGGTGGGCCGAAGGATTTGAGAAGGTGAAGACAGGTGTTTACGTGAGAGAGGAAAGTGCTATTTAGGAGACAGAGGAACTGTTAAACGAGATCTGTTTGGGAAGCAGAGGGGAATCAATAGTACCCTACAAGGTGTGATCCTAGTAAGTCAAGGGACAGTTGAGTTCTTAATTATCTGTGTTACAATGGTGGTTGGCTTCAATGAAGTCACGAGGTCATATAGGTTCCTTGGTATTTAAAAAGTATACTGGAACAGGAGTGGGTGGGTTAAATGAACAGAAAACAAGTTGTACTACTTATCAAAGCCAGGGGCCATTAGTGTTTAGTGGATAGAAAACTCTTGCTTTAACACTTACGTGGCCTTAAAAGTAAATGTGTACATTGCCCCATTTAAAAATGGATTGTATTCCACAATTAAATCTGCAGTTTGGTTGTTTGCACCTTGGAACACAGTATCTTTTACAGACTAGTCCAAAGAAAGATCAAATGTATTTAGCCTCAGTGTGAATTTAACATACTTTTGCAAAGAAAAAGAATTGTGTGCAGTTTACAAAGCAGTTTCACACGTTTGGCCTACCCAGTTCCCTGAGGTTAGATTTGGTACCATTCTCATTTTGTTTTTAAAACTGTAGTGGGGAGGAAACTTCGGTAGGTTCCCAGCTGGGGTGTCTGCACTTTGAGACATCGGTAATAATAAATTCAGTCGTCGTTGGTTGGGATCAGGTCCACCCTAGCTGACCCGGTGTATGTATTACATGTATGCACGGCGTATTACGTGTATGCACGGCGTATTACGTGTATGCACGGTGTACTATGTGTATGCACGGCATATTACATGTATGCACGGTGTACGTGTATATGGTGACCTTTTAAGTGTAGAGGCAGGAAACCAGGTCATGCGAGGCCTCCTTCAATTACAGTACCATAATGGGGTCGTGCATAGAGAATCCTGATAAAGGTGCCCTCGGTGGGAAGACCTGCTCAGAGTTGTTAGGTTCTTAAGGTTTCTGATTCTGCAACTCACAAATTGTCAAGGCAAGGAAGGGTTTGGGGGGAACATACAAGCAGTGCATGAAGAAGTGAAGGGGCAACGTATTAAGCTGCTTTGGTGAGGACATTTGTAAGTTGTAAGGAACTGTTAATACATGAATTGTACGTTACCTTTCGTTTGAGATTGGTGCGTTGATTGATTCCAGAGCCTTTGAGATAACTTTGTTTGAAAGGTGAAACACCAGGTGAAATTGCAAAAGTGGGCAAAGCACACACACAGTTGCTTATAAAAGGCTAGACACAATCAAGGAAAGTTACAATTTGTTAGAAATTCTTCTGGCTTTTTGTTGCCTGAACCACAAGAAGGTGGCTTTGTCTTCTTGTCACTTGTTGTGATAGCTGAGATACAGAGAAGTACTTGAGAAGTGAGCAGTAAGATCTCAGGTTCCCCCGAGTCTACAACAGGAAAAGGAAAAGAAGGGTATATGGGGAAAATGCCTCTTTAAAAAATACTATTTGCCGGTGTTCCCTAAAAGTGGCATGAGTACGCATCAAAGCAATCCAGAAAGGTTTCTGTTTTCTGTTCTCATTTGTGTTACAAGTGCGTTTGAATACTCTGAATTTTTCCTTTGTAAAAATTAAGAATGTCCCCAGATGAAGATTTGCTTCACTTTTTATGGAATGGGCCTTTTAAAATGTTAGCTGCTTAAATGCAGACAAATAGAACTGTTTTTCCTGATGTTTATTGTTGAAGTTTCATAGCAAGCACATTTTCATTTATAAACTATTGAAATAGCAACAATAAACCTATAAAATATTTTAAGAAGACAATTTTTTTTTTATAAGGAAAATACAGTCTTAAAGAAGATACAAAAAAATTGGTGCCAAACTTGTGCGGGGAAATTGGGCTCTCTGTTTACTATATTGTGTCTAAAGTCAAGCAGTTTTTTGTTTGGGAGGGTTTTGTGGTTGCAGTGGTCGATTGGTTTTAATTTGAGGCTTAGACACCAAAAACTGTAGGCCGTGTGCTTTGATCTAATGTTTTCCACTGTTATTATGAAGGCTGTTAACTGCTTATTTAAGGTTTGTTACTTGGGAAACTCGGATAATCCTAGAGACTCGGACTGTCAGCCCTGTGTTGGAGGTTCGACTCTCCACAGGACGATGGAAGTTCTGCCCGTTAAATGAGGGCTGTTTACAGCGTGTCGCATGGCACGTAGAGTACTTCATTAGTGGCAGAAATTGGTGGGAAGTCACTGTTTCTCGCCAGTCGGCCGTGTTAACCATCGTGGTGCAGGTTCATTCCTTACAGGAAGTGTGTGAAGCCGGTGGAGACAGGGCAGACCTTCCTGCCAGCTCCCGCCCTTCTCCTTTCCCTTAAGGACAACCACGTAGCGGGTGACCCTGCCAGCGTGGGCGTGGCGAAGCTGAGGGCAGTAGGGTTCTCGGCCGGATGTCTAGCTAGCCTGTAAGCTGGGTGACCTGGTTTCGTCCCTAGTACCCGTTCCCAAGTCTCATCACGTGCCCACTGCCCCCCACACGGCTGGCCCTTCAAACACAGGGAGACTGGCGTGAGGGCCCCTTCACGAGAGGAGGCTAGAGAGTCCAGAGGGAGCGGAACCCCGCGTGAGTTTCTCCGTCTTTCTGCTCCCCAGTCGCCTCAGTTTGTGCAGTGGAGATGACAGTCCCTCCTGGAGGACAGGTGCTAAGCCAGGTCTCAACGTCTCCGTCCTGCGGTGGCCGGAGATGGCTCTCCTGCGCCTGCCCCCCCTGCCATTACAGCGTCCGATGGAGACCCTGGCTTGGCCTCCCGTTGCGGAGGGCGGCAGGGAGGGTGGGAGTGGGGGTGGCAGTGGGCCTGGCCCTGTCGGGAGACCAGCCGTCCCGCCTCCACGTGCAGTGCGGAGCGTAGCCGCGCGGGCCTTGCTTAGCGCCACGGTGTCAAAGGAGATTACGTGCTGTCCCCTGGCACCTCCCACGTAGCCTGCTGAATGCCAGCAGCAGCCTCTTGATCCCCCAAAGCTTGGGCCTGGTCTGTGGTGTCCCTAGTGAGGGCGTGTGCAGTGTTTTGTCGTGATCATTGTCTTCTTTGTTAGCGTGGCTGCTGCCGCCATTGGTCCTGAGACTTGAAAGAGGAAAGTGTCCCGTGTGTTTGTGGGCTGCTGGAGTGAGCGCAGTCCCCTTCCCTGGGGACATTTTCACACCTGCCTTTGAATCCCTTGCTCAGTGACTGTTGAGACCACTTGTGATCCAGGCCGTGGGGTACTTGCCAAGTTTCGTGGGGCGGCATTCCACCATCAAAGGCCAATAGGAAACTTGCCCGGAGCTTGCACCTTTGTTAGGTGTGTTTTCTTGCAAAGAAACAGCCACCGAGCCAGTTCTCAGCGCCGAAACACTTAGAGCGCCGCTCAGGCTAACCTGGCCGCTGCGGTGGAGTGGCGTCTGTGTCCCCCTCGCCCACAGCCCTGCGGCCGGCGCCCGTCCGCGGGCCAGAGGCGCCCCCGTAGCCCGAGAGCTTAACTCGGGAGTCAGCACGCCACGCACACCATGACTCTTCTTGTTTGCTTTCTGGTACAGAATAGCAAAATCGCGTAAGAAGGTAGTAGCTTTGTTTTGTTTTATTTTTCTTTGATTTGTTTTTGCTTTTTTCCAGCCCTCCCCAGCTGACTCTCCTGTGGACGAGTCAGGCCTAGTCTGTGCGTCTCTTCCCCGTCAGCCTCCATCCTGGGGCGCAGAGGGGCCTGTCTGAAGCTGCCCTTCCATTCTGGCAGCCAGCTGCTTTACCCCCTTAATGACTGACGTGTGTACTTGTTTCCCATCTTGAAATTGGACAGCGTATTAGATCCTGTCTATCCAGATGGGAATGTCTTCGAAAATTAATATTATACAGAAGTAATGCTTAGGCATTGCTTTCTCCCCTTCTCATTTGGTCTGCGAATGTTCATGCATTGTGAAAAGTGTTTGGCACCACTTAGAATTTGTGAACAATAGTGCTAAGATCCAGTGTCAGTTGGAGACTGGCGGGGCCAGAATGGTTGATGGCACAATGAATGTATCACTTGACTAAGATTTTTTTATGGTGACTTTCAGTCTTCACTCCCTTGGGAGCTCACAGTGAGCCACAGTTACCTTTTATTGCTCTATATGTGTTGTCTGCGCCGATCACAGAGCCGTAGGGGAGCGGGACCAGTTGGGATAATTAGATCGAGGCGTGCATGTCACACTTCCAATACCATTCTCTTTTCGGGGGATTACCAGTGTCCATTTAATAAAATGAGATTAACCCTCTGCCGCAGAAGTATTTGAAAGCTGTCAGTCAGTGTAATCTTGACAGCCCTAAAAAGACGTGTTCTCAGCTCTCAGAAACGCTGTCTTGTTTTATTGGCTGAAACACTATTTTACTGCCCAGGGATGTGTGTGTCTATTAGCACATGAGAATACACCATTTCCTTTGTAAAAGGAAAATTTTTATGGACTCATCCATGCTGAGTCAAAATAATAATGTAGAGATAGCACCATATATACCATGAATTTAGTTTTGAGTTGCCGGATATCAATAATAAAATACCTAAGAAGTTGTGAAACCAAATAAAAATTTTAGAAAGCATGTTATGTATAGAGCAAATAATGACACATCTTTTCTCGAATGTTGTAGAAAACCTCGGATCAATTCTCAGCTGGTGGCCCAGCAAGTGGCTCAGCAGTACGCCACTCCTCCACCCCCTAAAAAGGAAAAGAAGGAGAAAGTTGAAAAGCAAGACAAAGAGAAACCTGAGAAGGATAAGGAAATTAGTCCTAGTGTTACCAAGAAAAATACCAACAAGAAAACAAAGTAAGTTTCTGGTTATAATAGTACGCGATATTATTTTGCAGGTGGATCCCAGATACCTTTTCAATGCCTCTCTTTTGTGTCTCCCTCTTTTAGACCAAAGTCTGACATTCTGAAAGATCCTCCTAGCGAAGCAAACAGTATACAGTCTGCAAATGCTACAACAAAGACCAGCGAAACGAATCACACCTCAAGGTACTCAATAACTAGAACGGAGTTGCTAAGATTTGCCGAATCACGGTCGAGAACCAGGGTGGGTTTGGAATCGACTTCAGCGCCGTGGCCACGGCGGGGGAGCTAGCGATTTGCGTGGTCTCAGGCTTTGCTGGCTGGCGCTTGCTTGTGCCGGCACGCTGGCAGCTTTGGCGCGCGCGCGACGGTCGAGATCCGTGCAGTCTCTGTGCGCGTGGATGACATTCTGCCAGAAGCTGCTTTTAATCCGTAAGTCACTTAACTGGCTGTCCCCTCTGGTGTCCCTTTCAGGCCCCGGCTGAAAAACGTGGACAGGAGCACCGCACAGCAGTTGGCAGTGACTGTGGGCAACGTCACCGTCATTATCACAGACTTTAAGGAAAAGACTCGCTCCTCCTCGACCTCCTCCTCCACGGCGACCTCCAGTGCGGGCTCGGAGCAGCAGAACCAGAGCGGCTCGGGCTCGGAGAGCACGGACAAGGGCTCCTCGCGCTCCTCCACGCCCAAGGGCGACATGTCGGCAGCGAACGACGAATCTTTCTGAAATTGCACATGGGATTGCGAAAACTATGAATCAGGGTATGAAATTCAGATCCTCCGCCTGCCCGTGCCGCCTGCAGCCCTGGAGAATCTTCTGTGGACATCGGCCCCTCAGCGACGCGCCAGGCTGGTTTCTGCTCGCCTGGGCGCCTGGCCACCAAGGAATTTCGCACCCTGACGATTACTCTTGACACTTTTATGTATTCCATTGTTTTATATGATTTTCCTAACAATCATTTATAATTGGATGTGCTCCTGAATCTACTTTTTATAAAAAAAAAAAAAAAATCTGCTGTGCACAATTTTCCATGTACATTACAACTGGTTTTTTGTTTTTGTTTTGTTGGGGGGAGGGCCGGGAGGGGGAGGGAACTTTTATTTATTGTGTTCACAAACCCCATCCTTTCAGCATATCCTTTTAAGTTTAGTTCTTTCTTCCAGTTATACTATGTACTATCAGTTTTGATATAACTATATATATATAAATATAAAATTATATATAAAGGGTTATTTGAAACCAATCCATGGCAACGCTGGTGCTTGATACACTGTGAAGTGAATACAACATTGAACAGTTACAGATCTGGGACAGTCCCTTCTATGAAAGTGCTGAAATTAACTTAAAATTAGTCTTACGTGAAGTGCGTTCCAACCGCCATGGGAACTTGACTCTCATCTGTCTAAAGAGTACTGGACGCTATAAAAATATATATTTTTTACACAATGTGATCTCAAATTTAAAGACTGCTCCAGATAGCCTGCATTTGCAATGGAATAACTGACAGATCACAAGTGGTTTCGTTGGGGAGGGCTTTGATCATTCAGAAGTAACTAAACTAGCTCCAGAATGCCAAGTATTAGTGTAAATTATGGTTACATGTTGACATTGCCGTCTTCTCACGTGAGCGCTCACGAAAACGTGGTATTCTGTCACTCGAATTCCATCCATCTTCCAGACCCCTCTCTACTCGTGTCTTGAGGTAAATGTAGAAATCGCCTCTTAGTTTCAGGATCCAAACAGCGTCCACTGTTGCTTTTGGTCCACGTGGGAAGCAAGCGCTTGTTTCGGCCGTCCGCGCGACATCTCGGTGGCGGTTCTTGTAATTGGAATCTGTCTGGTCGGCGGACCCTCGCCTGCCGGTTCAGTTGTGAGAGTCCTCTCTCAGAACCTGCCACGATTCACTTTACTGCACGGGAGTGGTCAGCCGCCCATCCCGCCCGGACATGGAGCTTTGCGGTGTTTGGAGCCATCTCCCGGGTCCCTGCCGCGGGGGGACCCGCGTGGCCAGAGTCGCAGGGAGGGGCAGCTCACGCTGGCGGCCGGCACAGATAGCCTGAGTAAACTGTTCTGTGCTTCTCACTGTTTTTACTGTCTTTACAAAAAATAAATCAAAGACCACTAAAATGATCCCACCCCTCCTCATTTAAAAAAAAAAAATCATTCTTGTTTTGCTTTGCTTTTGTTTGGATTTGGGGTCTGTCTGCTATGTCACTTTTACATTCATACAGGCAGAGTTTGTAGTACTTGGAAGTCATTTCAAGCACGAGAATTTGACTTAGGGACTCACCGCAGGGCAGCCCAGCTTGTTTGTAAGCAAGCGCCGAATTCTGGTGTTTAAAAACCTGGTTTGCTTAATAGAAGTGATTTTTGTCTCTGGAGGCAACAAGTAAAAAAAGAAAAAAAAACTAACAGCTTGAATTGAGTAGCCAACAGGAAAGGTTCCTTTCACGTTTACATTAAAACTATTCTGTAGTCACTAGTGTTGCATAATTTAAATTCTGTAGCAGTGCCATTCGTTGCTGTGGTCCTGTCCTCAAATGCACGGACGATGTCCCCCTCTTTTTAAAAAAAACTCGTATCTGGGATGCAAGCTATGCTTATCTTTTTAAATACATTTGTAAAGTATTTATTAATGAACCAAAGGAAATCAGATGCTTTCTGTAAGCATCAGAATATATAATACATAGTGATTTGACTATGAATTTTAAATCCACATTTTAATATTAGTGGGATATTGCAAAGACATTCCTTCTAAAAAGTTTTAATATTCCTTTTATTAAGGGTCTCAGGGAGGGTAAATTAGTCAGCCATATTTATTTTCCAGAGGTGTAAGGAATTGCTAAGTTTTTAAATTAAACTTTTTAAGAAAAAATTTAAATAACCACCAAACTCATGGGTTGCACTGCTTTTTAAAACCAGTAAGTGTTGGTATGCACTTTGTTCAGAAACACTGTGTACTTTTTCCGATAACTAGTTTCATGTAAAGTGATTGGACCCCCCTAGATTAGTGGAAAAAGCTGATTAACCAGCTACTCATAGGCTGCTAATTCATTCATTGCCAATGTCTTGGTTTTTCAGTTTTGCCTCCGTGATAAATTAAAAGAATGGGGAGGGGAGAGTTAAACTTCAGAACATGTGGCATGGAATTGCCGTCTTGGCAGGAACTGCAGCTAACGGTGGGAGTTGTTCCAATCAGGTGTCCCGGGGCCGGCCCTTCCGCTGCCGTTGTGTATTCTGTTGGGATAGGAAAGTGGTAGGTACCTTAGACTTCTAATTTCTGAGATTGATGACGTCCCTCAGGCATGTATTCTGGAAATGGAATTCCTGTAACTTCCAGCATTTGCCTACGATTAGTAGGCAGCGCATAAAAACACTAGTGTAGATTACAAAGATATATATTAAAAGAGGACCAGAAATACTTGGTATTCAGTGGCACAGAAAGCAGGTCAAAACAAAACAAAACAAAAAAAAAAGCACAGTGTTAACGCTTGCAAGGTTCCATTTGTTCTAATACCACAGGGTCTCTCGCACAGAGCTCACCCGACTTGCTCTTCTGCTGAGTCATTCAGTTAAAAAAAAAAAAACGAGAAAAGCAAAGACATCTTGACACCCACAAAATAGTTTAACCAAAACCTTTCAGTTTCAATCTGGATGTTTAAAAACATTGGCGGAAGCTTCCGTGAGTTTAGTTCCACTAAGATGTTTCACCTGCCTTATCAAGACCATTCTCAGTCTACTTTTTTAAGCTACAGTATCTTAAATTATTGAAAATTTATTAATTGCTGAGTATATAATAACCTTTGCTTGTATGTAACCGAAAATGGTTTAAGAGCCAACATTTAGAGTATGGCAACGGAGCTGGACAGTTTTTAACGCGCAAGCAGTTCTGTTCTTGTGTGTGACTTGTAACCTTAATTTACTGTGTAAAGGTGGTTACATTACTTCCTTAGCCTTGTTCGTTGGAGACAAATAGAGAATGCTTGTTAAGTATGTCAAAACATAATCTTATCTTGTGGATTTTTGTTAATGTATTATACGAGCTATATTTTTCATTTGCCCAGAAAGACAGCTTGTATAACGCTTCTGAAGGTTTCTGCTCTGTAAGGTCTTAGAGCTGACAGTCTGTTAGGTTATTATTATTATTTTTTTTTTTTTTCTTCATGCTAAAGTGTCAGTTGGTGGTTTTGTGAACTGGTCAGAAATTCACAGGTCTTAAATGTTTTGGGGAAATTTATATTGGACACTGCTCTTTGTCTAGCAAATAAAAGATGTTAATATATTCCTGTTACTGGCATGTGCACGACTATGTTATTAGAAGCCACTTTATCATTTTCCTGCTTTAAATAGAAATGTCTATTTATGAATTCTGCTTGTAGTTTTTTCACAAATAAAATAGTAAAATTTACATTGGAGGTCTTTATTTTTGTGTGTATAGATTTTAGCCTTCAGAATAAGAAGTTACATTTGATACCTTGGTTTTTAACTTGTGGAATATTTCTAGTGTGAACAGGAAGTTCATTTCGTTTTTTACAACTTGAGTTGTTTATCAGAAGCTGAAGTTACTTTGGTGTCTTAGTACCTGCCTCAGAGATAGGTCGCAGTGATTTAAAGTAAAGGAAATGGAGACGATGCTAAAAATGGCTAATTCAGGACCGAAAACCCTCAAAAGACAACCCCTGTTTCTGGCCAGCTGCAGTTAGGTCCACGGTGGCTCAGAGACTTGAAGGAAGTGCAGCGTCAAGCCCAAAACCCACACGGGCAAAGCTCATCGAATGCCTCGTGCCGGGGGGACTGCTGAGCCACACGGCTGTGGCCTTCTGAAACGCTATGAAACCACCTAACCCTTCAGGACTCGTCCCTGATTGCTGTGTCTTGGGTCTGCACTTGAGCTAGCACTGACGGGAAGAAGAGAGTGTAAATAGTGTAGGGCCCCGATTGGAAAATGGGTTTGTCCTGGTAAATAAAAGAAAACTTAGCAAATTCCATTCTCCTTTGTCCTCATTTTGCGGTACAGCATCGTGACCCGAGAGTGGCTCCTTAGAAGTCTTAGAAAGGGTCTGGAAGGGGGGAAGGGCAGGTTTGGGGTGGGGTCTGGGGTGCAGGTCATTTTGGATACAGGTGGGCAATCTGCTCACCTCGCCCTTTCCGCTTTCCTTTGTACCCGAGCAGTTCTTCCCGAGGGTCCCCTCCACGCCCTGGGTCCCCGTTGGGGAGGATGGGAGCCACCTCCCCTGCTAGGTGTGGCCCTGCAGCAAGTGTTCGGCCTTTGCAGTGGAAATAAGGATGTTTTTTAGGAAGAGTATAGTCTTTTTTCTTTTTCCAGTTGCATGGACAGGAAGGGAAACGAAAGGCGTCTCTCTCCTCCTCAGCCAAATTCCAGTCTTGACACCAGCTGTCCAGACCCCCTCTTGAGGAATCCCTTGGTCAGGGTGTGACAGCTTCATGGTAAGAGGCTCTTGAATTACTCTTGGCCAGGGGTAGAATGATGTCCTAAGCCCGAAAGTGCCCAGGCTGGAGCTGTCTGCTTTCATAGTCACGTGGCTAGCGTGGAAATGGAAACCAGCCAGCTCCTGCCTGGGACAGGGACGAGATCGTGAGGGGTGTCAGGAAGTCCCTGGGTCTGTCTCACCCCTCACTGCCCAGCAGTCCTGAAAAGCCACTCCTTAAAACCATAGCAGGGCAAAGACGGGAACCATCCTTATGTTAAGATCAAAACTCTGAGCAAGGTTCTGTCTGCTAACTGCTGAAAGAAGCCACAGCCTATCTCATTGTCCTTGTCGCTGTTGTCAGGAAGGCACCATGCAAATGGACAGCTGGATGCTGCGGGAAAGGCTCAGATTTTTCTAGAAGGGATCATGGGACGTGTCTGGAAACATAGGGAGTGAAAGTAGGTATGCAGATGTGATGTTCTTCCTGGCAATGCTCTCTTGAGCCATTAGCCAAAAGACGGGGCGAGGCTCACTGAGGCATCCAGTCCCTAAGCATCTAGCGTGTCTCCCCGAAAACCAGACAGGGCCTCATATTTACTTTTCCTCAAGAAGACACCCGAGGGCTTGTTTTCAGGGGATGTGTTATTCTTTTTAAGTACGGTACAACCACCTACATTGATTCAAATAGAGTGAAGTCGTCTTCTTCTGGAACATCATCCTCACTCTCCAAACCCCGAATCCCATCCTGAATGTCTTGCGACTCTGTTTCCTTTAGAGCCACCGCGCCCCCCGTCTCTCATGTGGACGCACTAGAGCTCTCACGGGGCGGATGAGAAGGGCTGCTCGTGTTCTTTCCCGCTCCGCGACGACACGCATGGGTTGTGGCAGATCGCCTTGCGCCAGCCACGCCCATCACCAGGGCTTGTTTTCATAGCCACGCCCATCACTAGGGCTTGTTTTCATAGCCACGCCCATCACTAGGGCTTGTTTTGGTAGCCACGCCCATCACCAGGGCTTATTTTCATAGCCACGCCCACCACTAGGGCTTGTTTTCATAGCCACGCCCACCACTAGGGCTTATTTTCGGGGTGGGGCTTCTATTGTGCACATGCTTAGACATCCTGCTGGGGCTTATTTTATGGGCAGGTCTTGTTTTCAGGGAAACCCGGTGTCTAGTCCCAAGGACGCAGCTGCCCTGGGCTTAGGTGAGCAGGGAGGGCTGTGGAGTTGGCCCTCTCCCCCGGGTCCCCCTGACCTCGGTCTGGCAAGTGACACTGACCCCAACTGTTCCCCTTCCCCCTCCGGCCCGTGCCAGACATCACCCATCAGTCACGAGCGCTCCTTTTCAGCTCGATCCAGACTCAGAATCCTCAAGACAGCCACCCCAGCCCGTGTTCTCCGGACATACAATCCGTCTGCCATTCCTTCCCTGGACTAAACCCACCCAAGACAACCGGGGAGCCCCACAGGACACTTTTTAATCATCTCTCCCATTGTGGAGCCGGAGGAGTCCGAGGAGAAGGCCGGCTGAGAGGCTCGGAGGAGTCAGGAAGGAACAAACCATTCCGACACCAAGCTCTTCCCGGAGCTCAGCTCCCTGATTGAACCTGGGCCAGACTGGAGGGTTCCTCGGAACCCAGCATTGAGCACCGTGGCCTTAAACGCAGCCCTGCACCCGGGACCCAAAGGCCTGCCGGGGCCGCTGTCCTG